CATTGTCAAGCGACTAAGTAAGACTTTATATTTACAACATAAGTAAAATAGTTAAAAATTTCATTGAAAAGATTTCAGTGCTGTCATCGTAATATTTTTGTAATAGAAAGAGATTCGAATTTTCAGTATCAGTTGAGAGTTTTGGTAAAAAATAGTTAGCATTGTCACGATAAACGGTGCATAGGTATATAATTGAAATAATGATTTTCAATACAGAAACAATACAAACATGTTTAAAATATTAGTCTAACCTTCCGCTGTAGAATGATTTGACAAAAATGCTGAGCACGAAACCTTTACTTTGTGTAAATAAGAATTCCTTGACGCATTTATAAGCGTGTAGGTATGTATCCTTCTTTTTTAAAAATATACGGAATTATATTACATATGTATCCATTATCATCTACGTTCAAGTTTAGCAGACTTACGCTACACTTATCACTTATAACAGCTGATTGGCATATATTCTATTATAGAAACTTTGTGCATTTGCACACATGTGACATGACATTCGACATCTGACGATTAACGCCGCGTGGGTACATAACCTGATATTTTATAAGAGCTACCTTAGACCCTTAGACCCTTAGGCTATTGTATGTAATACAATGTATGTATGTATGCATGTACGCGCGTATAGTAACATCCCATTATTTTACTGCACATCCAATCCACAGTGGATCTTGTCTCGGCAGTGAATTGTCAGCCAATCAGAGCAGAGAAAATTTCTATATCGACCCTTACTAACGGATGAAGCCGCGTATACATATGGTCAAATGCCTAGATTCTCCTTATATCACCTTACTGTAACTAGGCACTAGGCATTGTCCTTATTGGTCCTTGGTGTCCTTATCGTGGTTTTTATGGTTCGTGGTTTCAAGTTTCAAGTGTAGCAAAAATCCGAGTGTACCGCGCGCGTTGTGTGTATTTTATAGTAAATTACATATTCATACATAGAATTTTTATGATATATTTTAAATTAAAAATTATAATATTTATAAATTAAATACGTATATATAATTATATAAATTATATATACGTATATATTGAGATTTAACCGCTAACCTAAAAAGAATTGTTTTCCAGGAAATTATTTTGATATAAATCATGGGTAAGGGTCATAGGCATTTAAAACATTTAAAGTCTGAAAAAGCAAAAGTGAAATTGAAAGCGAAGAAAACAAAGCAATTACCGAAAGGACTGAACGTTACGGATACAACGTTTAAGGTTAAGAAAATTATAATACGCGAACAGTTAAAACAACGCGATGACACAGAAATTCTTAGCAAAAGGAAGCTTAACGTTAAGGTAATATTACATTTACTGTTACGTATTTTATACAAATAGATCACTTCATGAAAATATAATTGTAATTTCTAGGAGTTGCTTTCACGTCTTCAACATCATAATTCAACGGTTAGACAGGAAGCCATAAGGGAACTGAAAGAAATTTTATCAAAACATTCTTTGGACTTGTTAAATTTACAGTTTGGATCTCTGTTGCAAGGCATTTGTGCATTGTCGCTTGACAAAGAGAGAAGCATAAGGCACGACTCCTTCAAAGTTTTAAGTTTGATACTTTCTCCAATATCCAACGATCAACTGAATCCATATTCCGATGTTCTGATTTCATATTTGAAGTGTGCCATGACTCATATAGATCCTCGTATTAAGGAAGATGCATTGGTGTTTTTAGACATACTTGTGCAAAACTGCAGCATCATTTTGGCAGAAAATAGTAAAAAAGTTCTGCCAAATTTTTTGGACATGATCTCTAGATTACATAGCGAAATGAAGCCTGGAAGGCAGTTGACGACAACATTAAATTCAAAAAGTACTAATGTAAAGTGGAGGATAAAAGTGTTAGAAAGATTGGCTGCTATATTCGGTTCGATCGTAAATTTCTATAAACTGCAGCAGACTGTTAGCTCGAACATGACTGCACGGATTGTGCGTGTAAATACGAATACCAAGTATGTCCCTGTTTACGCGAATACATATTTGAAGGATTGTAAAATTGATTTTGAACAACGGGACAATTTGAAAGAAAGCTCTGCTGAAAAAACTTTAAACGTAGAGGAGCTTGTGAAATACGTTGAAACGTTAATGCCGCTTATATTCGATAGTTGGATCGAAGTATGCCCAGATGAGAAGAACATGGACATTTCGTCGCATTCGATAACTGCAGAAGCATTCGAATTATTGAAAAGCGCTGTAGAAATTATGCAAATGATAATTGAGTGTGTAGACATATTAGACATCGAATGCGATGTGAACATAAAATATTGGTTTAAAAATAATTTTGAGAACGTTTTTGTAAAAAAATTTCTCTCAAAATTTCCGTACAACAAACTTGGAACATCTGACAGTATTTTGGCTTCCATGAGGAACAGAAAACGACAAGAAGATTTCATCGTAGACAAATCGTACGACGATTGTTTAGCAGATAATTTAGGACTTTGTCAAATTTATGTGTGGTTTACAGCTGTACACTGTGACGACAAGGCATTACCTAAATTAAGTAAAGCTTATTCTACATCTGTACTTAAATACCTAAACGGCAAGTTCACAATCGTAAAAACAATTGACGAATTAGACGATACATCTCGTTTATACACATGTATACTCTACTTCTCTTTTACCCTATAGAAAACCTGGAGAACTGGTCGAGCACGCATAATATTGTCTTACCCCAACTGATGAAGCTACTGAGAACATTATTTTTAAAAGCGAGTAATATTTGGTACGAACAAAATCTTGATCTTAGCGAAACTCTTCAAACGGTTGTAAATGCATGCTGTAATCAATCGAAACGAGAAATGGAGTTACATCTGTTCTCTACCATTAGCGATATAATGTTGGATCATACTTTACACAAACTACACAGGTACAACTATTTGTATTTATACTATTGAATTCTACATACGTGTACCGTTTTAAACGGTTCCTTGACAATTCTATTTTGCTAATGTATCTCAGGGAACGCGCATTCAAGGAATTCATTTCAACTTTACCCGGTCTTCTTTTAAAGCCCAAGATACACGAAAATACGATACAAACGATAAATAAAGTCGTGCTTCGCTACAGAGATTGGATTCAAAAAGAACTCGTGAACAATCAAAATGACATTATAGGTGACTATAATACAGAAAATATGATTTCTGTAACTACCACGTACGCAGATTTATATTATAATTTACATATTATGTTACAGAGAATGCTAAGAAAATTGAAATCATTGGCTCGGAAGATGAAAAACAATCTCGTCTCATGATCTGCAATTTGTTTTATTTTTTGGATGCTCAAATTTTCTATTGAATGGTAAATATAACTTCCCGCTAATAAATAATGATTCTTTCTATGTACATACGTTCCGTAGGTGAAATATCTCGAAGAAACGATCTCGTGCCTCATCTGCCTCGTATCGATCGATTAACTAACACGTTCTTGCATTAGGAAAATTTCGAAGAATTTTCTAGCAGAATGCAATCGTCAAGATCATAAAATAATCATGTTTCAATAACGAAAACGAAAAGGATATATTACGTTTGTTCGTGTTTAGGTACAAGAATAATCAGAAATCGATGAGGTATGTCGTTATTTCGTGTTTCACGTTCGTTCCGATCCATTGTCTCTCTCGTAGTAAAAATATTTGTTACCGTTCCAGGATTATCGCGATAATACTTGTATACAAATACTGAGTGTAATCGTTCCGGTGTCCGATATCGATAATTGAAAAGAAAAAAGTTCTGACTCGGCATACCGTCTTAAAATCTAGTTATCATGTTTATGTTCCGCGGTGATTCGTCGTTAATGAACGCGCAATTATCGAACCCATACAAACTTTTGCCGTCCTTACTCGACTCTATGGCGCGATGACGCGATCCCGTGCCAGGTAGATTCGAGGTCTTTTCGTTATCGCCGACGTTCAACAATGTGTAACAATGTTCCTCTCTGTAGGACACGTTGATAATATTTTCTACACTCGGCGTTAACGGTAAAACGGGTAGATCCCTGTCGAGGTTCGGCCAACTCGAGTCGTGTTGTAATTCGTGATCCACTCTCAGGTACTCTTTCTTCGATTTCTCAGGCCTGTAGAACTTTGACTTTAATTTCGTCTCTATCACGTACTCGATCAGGAACATTTCGACGAAAATGCAAACTACAAAGTTTACCACAGCGAGTGCCAAAATTATGATCTTCCAGTCATAAGCTGGAGGTACCTGTAGCACGAGCAAATTCACTATCCAGCCGGCAGGATAGACGGTAACGTACGTACAGATCGTGGTCAGCACGATAAGAGAAACGATGAAGGTAATATTCGTGTAAATGGCTTTTCGATAAGGCTTCCCGCGGGAGAATATCACCGCCATAGTTATGTATTGGAACATGGAGACGCAGAATACTGAATAGTTTTCGTAGCACGCGTACGATTCGCCCGTGTAAACGAACGGAGTAAACCAAGAAAAAGTACGAACCGCGTGATAAGCCGAAGCCTGAAACAGGGTCATAATTAACATATGCGCGATCAGGGAAAAGATTGTCGTGAAACTTAAAAGACTGGTCATCGGAGGTTTCTTCACCAGCTTGTCCTCGTACGACCGCGTTTTACCGAAGAACGAGGCGAAGTTAACGACCAGGCAAATGTCGATGAACAAGAACTCTAGATCCGTTAAATTCGAGTCGATGGAGTAAAGGATTATCACGGATAGAAACTCCGTCAAGGAATAGATCACCATGAATTTGAAGATTCCAAACGATGTCACCAAGGCGGCGCGACCTTCCCTGATCACCTTCGGAACGCAAGTAATGTCGGGTACCTTCGACGTGAACGGACTAGCAACGCTATACAACAAAGAAAACAAACAAAAGAAAAATAAGCGTTTGTCGAAGATTACGTATATCGGTGTCGATATTGGAACGCGCGGGGTGGCTGCGACTATCCTTCTCTACGATCAGGGTCATTTAATAATTGGAACGAAATAGAAAGCGAGTAGACACGGCAGCGATTTCACGATATATATACGAATCGATGGATTACGCGATCGGGAACGAAAATTATCTGTTGGCAACAGAATTTAGTAATTTAGCGATAAATAAATTAGGCGTTTCTCCGCAATCCTCCGTGACATAGACGCGCGTACGCGACGTACGCGTATACGTAGGACTCACGCGCGCGCGCGTGTGCGTGTGTGTGTATGGTGTGTGAATTTGTAAGGCATTAGAGTTACGCGCGGCACGTAGCCGTAGCCTTGAATGGTCGGTTGAACTTGATTCAACTAACGTCACAACGGAGGAGGGTGCAGCAAAACTCGATGCCTTTGTTTCTCTCCAGCTCTATATACCGACAACGAGTATTTCGACACAATTTCAATACTTGCAGTACTCGTATGTCACGACAAGGTTTACGTTTAAAAGATTACCTGGATTCTGCCTCGGACAAGGATACACCGACGTGCGCCGCTCGCAAAGCACCGCAGTCGTTCGCACCATCGCCGCACATAGCTGGAACGTTTACAAAACGTTAATGTCGATTCCTACTCGTCGAATAATTGAAAAGCTCGTCGGGATCGCGTATGAACGGTTCGGCAACGCATACCAACGTAATAACCAAGTTGCATCAGCTCCAGAACCAATTGTTGCTTCTGATCGCTGGACATCCTAGCGAATATCGCACCGCGTACACAAATTCTCGGCACGATGTCCGGATAATGCTCGCGCAATAATTGCCACGATTGTCCCGTTAACGCGAACCGATAATTACGACTACCTATACTTTGTTCTATGTCCCGCAACTCCGTAATCCTCAGTTTCTTGTTATTGTTGGGATTCTACGAAGAAATGGAAAAGTGTTGAATCGGTGGACGCGTTCATTTCGCGCTTCAACGTACGTAGCTTATGTATATGCGATTGAACAAAATTACCGGTTTAGGGGGCAATTCTTGAGCATTAAAATAAATCTCTGGCTGCATCTTGTTTTCTTTCGCAACTATAGTGACGTCTATCACAGTCTCTTGCGGCGACAAAATGCCACATTCTTTTGCAACGCTCACAGCAGTTTGAATATTGTCCCCTGGAATAACTTGTTTGATTACGGTGCATGCAACGGACAACAGACATTTCAAATCAGTCATTTCACTTTCTACTACGACGATATATGTATGTATGTATGTGTATATATATATATATATATATATATATATACACACGCGCGTAGAGAAATGTGTATTCTACAATAGTATAGGATAATAAACGATTGCCGTGGCCTCATTTACCAGTAATCATTAGAACGTGCATGTCGGCCGACTTGAGTTCCTGGATGACCGCTTTCGTTGGTGCTTTCAGTCTGTTTTCCATGATGACGAAACCCAGAAACTCAAGATTCTGTTCGACCACGTCACGGGGTAGCTTCGTGATCTACAGGAATCGCTTTGATAATCGTTTTGTTTCCATATAGAAGAAAATACGGTAATGTCTTCGTTACCGACGCTCAGTTTGTCCACTAAAATGGATAATTTGGGAAGAGGAGATAAGATTGTGGGCAATTTATAACTATAAAAATAAACCGCAAGGCTCGAATAATCGTATCTCCTCTTGCCAAATTGTTCATTTCTGTGGTCAATTTTAGCGTCGATTAGAGAGAGACATTACTGTAGCTGGTAGGTGGTAGGTGTTGGGTCGCGTATCGTTTACCTTGGCGCTGTCCCCGGTGAATTCCGAGCGGCCCATGGCTATAACGCGATAGCCTTGTTCCGTGTACCGCCTCAAGCTGAACAGAACGTCTTTCGGGACGGTTTCCGGTTTGCTCAGACTGAGGATCATTTCGGGCGATCCCTTCGTGTAAGCTCTATAAGTCTGCGAGCCCGATTTGCGCGCCACCACGGACATTCGTTGCAGAGAGCTCGAGAATTGATACTGTTGCACTATTCCAATTTCATCGTCGGACGGATCTTTCTCGTTCTTCCTCGACTCGACGATCGTCGCTGTAACGTGATCGTACTTGCTCGAGCCGGTTCGATCGACGTTGTCGGGTTCTTTCAGTAGCCATCCGGTGCTCTCGAACATCTACGGGTTAAAATAACGCGGTAAACGCATTGATCGAACAGGACGATCCCGATCGATTCGATCGAGAATACCTTGACGTCCAAAGGATCTCCGCAGAGTTGCTCGTCTATCAGAGTCAAACTATGACAAACCAGCATGCCCTCGAAAAGAGGGTGGTTCTTCAACTTGGGAATGCTCCTCTCCGGTTCGCCGAGGACGCTGTTCGTGGAGGGCACGATTCCCCACATGTCCAAGCCGTCCTCCGTCAAGGTTCCCGTCTATGGGAGGCCGTGCGAGAAAGGAAAAATATATTATCAAAGGCGCATCGAATACGCGTTCCGCGTTCGACGAAGGCCGATTCGGTCGGTCGGTCGGTCGGTCGGTCGGTCGGTCGGTCGGTCGGTCGGTCGAGAAAGAGTAAAGAGCCTCGCGCGCACCTTGTCGAAACAGACGCAATTTATGCTGCCGGACACGTTGATAACTCTGTTGTTTATACAATAGATTTGTGCTCTCTTGAGCCGCGACTGAGCATACAGTTTTCCTACGGTCATCGCCGCGGGAAGCGCCGGAGGAACCACTATCGTTATTATGTCCAACGCCTTTATGGCGATGTCGCCAACCGTGATTCCCCTGGAAGCCTAAAGGCGAGAAGAACGGTCGTTAACGAATCCAGAACGATTCTCTGTTCCGATCGCGTTCGAAGAAAACCGCGCACCTTGGACAAGATGGTGTAAACGAAGCCGCAGCTGGCGATGAAGGCGAGGATGCCGATAAATTTGTAGGAGTCTTGATCGAACTTAAAGTCCGCCGGTGGTGGGTAGAGGATAGCGGCGACCAGGCCGCCCTTGTTCGTGTGGAAGCCCGTTCGAATGACCCGCGCGAGGACCGGACCATTCCCGTGACATCTGTCAGGATGACGAGATACGGATTATGCTCCGTCTATGTTCGATGCTCGAGGAGTACGGTAACGTCGATCTCCGATCGTGCACGAAAACGAACAATCCGGGCTGAGGAGATGCGATTGTTCGAGCCTCGAATGAATCGTATCTCTCCTCTTTCCAAATTGTCGATTTTTATACCTGGGAGTAGTAGAGTATACCTGGTCTGAATGATGCTGGTGCCGTTGAATATCGTGTGATGGGAGCACTCTTTCGGCTCGTAAAGAACGCGTTGCGACGGTAGCGGAGTTTTCGTGACCGGCACCGACTCTCCTGAAATTCGCAGAAATCGTTATTCTTCGCGGAGTATTCGTTATCGGACGATATTCCCGTTCCCGTGGACGACTCCGATGGCTCACCGGTCAGCATGGATTCGTTCAATATACATTGCCCGGTTAAGAGAACCGCGTCGCACACCACGGTGGCCCGATGAGAAGGCAACTCTATGATATCACCGGGGACCAAGTCGCTGCACGGTATAGTTTCCAACAGCGACGGACCTCTGCGCACGCGAATCGTCTCCGTCGACGCGACGGTGCTTCGCAGATTGATCTGATTCTAAAAAACGAAGAATCGATTTCAGCAACGACCGCCGTCGTGTTCGCGTCGCGAGCCGCCGGACGGCAACGGTCTTTTTACCTTGCGGGTCTGTATTATGGAACTCGTGATCCCGAACAACGACATGCACACGATCGCCGCGGTATAATAGAGGTAGTCTTCCGCGAACCAAACGCAAAGCGTGAACACTTGGAATATGTAGAACGGATTCAGAACCTCCAGTACCAGCAGCACGCCGATGCTCTGAACGGGCACGCCGATCGCGTTGTTTCCGTAGACGAGTCGCCTGGAACGATCAATTTTCAATTTTCAATTTTCAATTTTCAATTTTCAATTTTCAATGTTCAATGTTCAATGTTCAATTCTCGACAGGTCCGTCCATTTTGATGATAACTGTTCTCGCGGTCGTTCGACGAATACCTGAGACACTGTTCCTCCTTCGAAAGGCCCTGATCGCTGCTCAAATGTAGATCCGAGCACAACGTGAATCTGTCCAGGCCGACCAATCTGGAGAACGCGTCTTGTTGCGCGTCCCAAACGTAGCACTGTTTCTTGCACCAGAAAGCTCTGTACTCGAACAGTTCGCGTTGCGTGCCATTCTCCAAACGAATCGGCAGCTTCTTCGACTCGATCTTTTCGACGAAACGCCTGTCCCCGCCTCCGTCGTTGTCGCCGTGGCCGAAAACTCTCGACAATTCTTGCGAGCTGACCAACAGAAACGACAAATCCAACGGATCACGAACCGTTACCGCTCGACCGTTCGATAGTCGCTGTGCGTAATTAAATTAATAATGGTAAAAAGTTGCTCGAACTAACCTGAGGTCCTTCGCGGAAACGGTTTTTACTTCCTTCACGAAGTAGGACGTGTATTTTCCTTGATAATTATCCTAGTGGGTAATCGCATCGTCGATCGACGATGATTATTAAACGTTTGCTCGTATCGGTGTAGTTAGAAAACAACGACACAACTACGATAACGATAGCGACACAACGACAACGACAACGATAACGATAACGATACAATAACAATAACAATAACAATAACAATAACAATAGATGAGAAAAACAATTGCGAGTGCAACTATGAATCAACGAGTCGGAATCTTAGGTATCTCGAGGTACGCGATACGCGATTGTGCGCGGAGAGAGTACCGTATACAGTAATGCCTCCCTAATCGACGCTCGGATTGCGCAGAAAAATGGACAATTTGGGAAAAGGAGATACGATTATTCGAGTCTCGCGGTTCGTTTGAATATTTACGAATTGTCGAACAACACTATAAGAACGAGAGCAGCCGCGGGACTCGAATAATCGTATCTGCTCTTCCGAAATTGTCGATTTTTCTGCGCGATCCGAGCGTCGCGGTTAGGGAGACGTGTTACCGTATTCGAAAATCGGCCTGTTCGAGAAGAATATAGAAGAGATGAGAAAGAGAGAAGAGAAAGAGAAAGAGCGAACGTACGAACTTGTTTCTCTATCTATTGTATGTACATCGAGTAGACAATTAACGTATTATTCGAATCCTTACGGTTACGAGCAATTTGGTGGCACGATACAAGGGGCACTTCTTGTGAGTCGCATAGACATGCAGATGAGGATACCAGTGGAAGAACAGTCTGATGCAACCGACGGTCAACACGTAAGACAGGCAAGTCAAAAAACGTTTCGGGTTGCTCCTCTCGAATCCATAAATGTGCTGAAAAACCCATCGATCGGTAGGACGCGAACACGCGCGTGTCTTTGGTTTCAAACAAACGAGAGAAAATATCGTAAGGAAAGGAGAGCTTACCATGTCCTCGTCTTGGCCCGTATGAATCTTTTGCCAGTGAACTTTCGACGTTCGGTCATCCTTTACCCCTGCGCGATCGGAGAGAAAGAGAGTGAGAGAGAGAGCGCGGTGCGTGCGTGCGTGCGTGCGTGCACGAGAACAGGGAGAAAACGAGAGGGAAACTTTGATTCGTGGATTAGATATCGCCGGTACACCGGTAAAAAGTAATACTTCCGGAAATACGAGCACGCTATCGGGTACGATACGCGATGCGTTTTTCTCGAATCGTGTCACTCGCAATCGGTATTCTTATCGATCGTAGCCGGATCGAGTCACGAGACGACGGGAGCTCGCGCTCGTGCGGACGATATTTTCGAGTCGTCGAAAGAAATCCGACGATTCCCGTGAAAACAGTCTTATCCGATCGCGCGGAATCGATTCGAATCGAATCGAATCGGACCAGATTGGATCGCGATAGCGTCGACGATTCGTTATCGGGTTATTCGTGGACTCGGACGAACGCGTTTCTTTCTACCTCGCGCGCGCGCGCGCGCGCGCGCGTTCGGCTGAAAGGTCACCGATCAACGATGAAACGATAACCGTGGGACGCGCGAATCTGATTTTTCCTTATCCGCGAATAAGCAAACGTCGTTTCGTTCTTCGGCTGCGCGAGCTCGAGTTTCTCTCCGTTTCTCTCGCGTATCCCCGACCGACGTATACACGAACGTGTAACACGCGCTTGGATAATCGGGCGAGTTACGCCACTTTTCCGTCGACTTTAACTGCGATCGCGCGAATACGCGCGGTTCGCGTTTTTCGCACAAGTTTTTTTTCGAGCGCACCTCGAGGCTCTCGAGATCTCGCGCTCGTCGTTGGACGGACCGAGACGCGAAAATCGACGAAAGTCGCGAGACGACTCACCATCGGATGTTGTCATAACGTTTGATTCCCTCGAGAACTCGGGCGAAGGTCGAACCGGTGCTGTCTAGATCCTCGCGATCGCCGAAGGAGAGACGTTTCCGCGATCGATGGTCAACGGCTGTCGTCGATTCTCCTCCGTTCGGACTAGGTGGGTGGTCGGTGACTCGTGGCTCGTGGCTCGTGGCTCGTGGCTCGTGGCTCGTGGCTCGTGGCTCGTTCAACGAAGCCGAATCCTTTCCTCACCTTCGAGGTAGAAACGCGAGCAACGTTCCCCTCGAAGCGGCACTCTGGAACGTTAATCGAGGAAGAACGGCTGATTAGATTTCTCGAACGGAATTAAGCGACTCGAAGAAAAGAATACTAACGAGCCCATCCCGTGAAACAAGATACGAGAGCGGTCGGGCTAGACGCGGACGCGTTCAATAGGTACATACGTATAATGGTTGGACAATGAACGCGCGATCGCGATGACCGTGCTCTTGAATTAGACACGGTGGACACGGATGCGAACACCGCGACGTCCGAACACGGACGTGGAACGGATCGTTCGCCGACCGTGCCGGACCAGGAGATCGATCCGACGAAACCGTATCGACGTCACCGTCCGACGATCGTCGTCCGCTCCGTCGTCTACGAACGTTCGAGAGCCAGGGGTTGTTCGGAAAACCCGCTCGTCTCGATCGATCGCGAAGAGAACCGAGCAACAGCGCGTCGCCAAAGTTCGATCGCGACGCAAGATCCGAACGGCGCGATCGCGCTGCTCGAAACTCGAACGGATGATTTATGGGATCGCGTTCGAGATGTTCGAGCCCGAGTAAAGACAAGGCGGTTAGCGCACCTTCCTAACAACCTTGCTCGGAAGGTCAGAATTCGGTGGATTCCGATCGAAATTTCCCATCGATCGAATCACGATTAGTCGCGGTTAAATCTGTTCTCCTTCCGTTAACGCGCCCCGGCCGATAGTCGTAGCGCGCGTGTCGATCTCGAGGTAAGATAAGTTGGAATCGTCGCGGAGTTATCGTCGCATGCTACTCGTTTTTCGATAATTACGCCGACCCATTGTTTCACGGTAATTAGATGTACCGAGAACGGGGACGCGAGGCGTGACGCAAAGCTTGTTATCTATGTACGCGCGTCTCGCGCTCGTCGTCCCTCTCCTCGCCATTCCCATTCTCGAAAATTAAAAGAAAAACTGCGACTATAATAGACATATATATATATATATATATATATATATATATATATATATATATATATATATAGAGAGAGAGAGAGAGAGAGAGAGAGAGACGATACAGCGGACGCGGACCACGGCCACAGCTGCGAAATTGTATCCGTGATCGCGACTGCGACTATCGCTGCGAGCACGATCGGAAAGCCATTCCGTATCTTGTCTAAAGAGATTCGTCGATGACGTCGATGCGAGCAAAAGCGAGAAAATGCCTTCGAGCGACGGCGAGGCGGCGAGGCAGGGCACGGCTCGATCAGTATTTTCCACGCCGGATCGCCATTAGCGCGAACTATGAGAAAAAACCAGATCACCTTTTTCCAGCCGGAATGCTAGACCGGCAGCAATTCTTCGTTGCATAAGAAATGCCGCTGTTTAACCGACGAACGATTTCCCCGACGACCGATGGCCGACGCGTCGCGACGAGGACGCGAGACGAGACGAGGCGAGGCGAGGCGAGGCGAGGCGAGGCGAGGCGAGAAAAGAGACGAGAGGAGAAAAGAGACGACTGCGTTGTTGTCGCAATTTCTATTCCATTGTGAAATACGTGTCACGGAACCTGGGAGATCGGAGGTGCGCGTCTGGTCGCGACGGTAACGCTAGAAACGCGACTCGCGTTTCCACGCTTTTAGGTAAAGGCCGTTGCGTAACGCGAGGCACCCGATGCAACTTCGAATCGTTCGAGACTCGTTCGTTTCGTAAAAATTGCCGATCCCTGTACGAATCGGGGCTGAACGAGAGAAGCGTCGCGTCGCGATTTCGTTCCGCGCGAAACCCACCTGAAAAATCCACCTGCGTCGAGCAAGTCGTACGCTCCGGTTTCTCCCAAACGATATCCGAACTCGAACGTTCGAAAGACTTCGACGCATGCTCGTACGTATAATTTAACCGAGATACGGGAATTTCGTTGTTTTCGACCGATCGCGAGTACGGTAATCCTCCCTGATCGACGCTCGGATCGCCTCGCGGTTCGTTTTTACAGTTACGAGTTGTCAACGATTATAAAAAAACGAGCCGCAACGAGACGAGGACAATCGTATCTCCTCTTCCGAAATTGTCCATTTTTCTGCGCGATCTTAGCGCCGGTTGGGCAGGCGTTACCGTAAACGTCGTAGGGCGTCTCGCACCGACGGAGCTCGAACCGAGTTCCGAGCCTCGAGAAAAGCCGCGAACATAAATCGAAAAATCCCATCGAAAAAATCGGACGTCGACCGATTTCGCGAGGCTCGTCTCGACGTCGTCTCTCGCTTTACATTTCTATTACTTTCTCCGAATCGAGGATTCGCCGACGAGCGCGATCCCATGCGCGATCGCTTCGGCCCCGAGCCGTCGAGGTGCGCGCATTTTCTAACTTTCCGCCGTTCAAACGCGGTTCTTCGACGCGACGCGTCGAAACGCCTTTTTTATCGTCTCGTAATTATTTAAAAATAAATGTTGTCGCAACGTCGCGTTACGGACACTCGCGCTCTCGCTGGACACCAATTATGCGGTTATTGTTGCAATAACCGCGGAACCGCCGTACTTTTTCCGACTATTTTTCTACCTCCGAGTTTTCCTGGTCGAGTAATTCCGATGAAAAAACGGTCGTCGAACGTTCGATCGGAGGATAACGGATATCGCGAGTCTCGAGATCGTATCGGTTTACCAGCGAACGAACAACGGCGAAGACCGGTGAAAATGAAAATCGAAATCGGAATTCTATGGAATTTCGTTTGTACGCGCGCGCGTACGGTACGCAAATTCCAGACGGAGAACGATGCGCCGGTGACATTCGAGAAGAAGAGAGACGTTGGTCGTTGGTCGCGATTTCGCTTGGACACTTACCCTCGGCTACTCGTGATGCGAGAGACTACTCGTGATTCCTGTTTGCGCTCCGACGTCGGGCTTGCGGTAGAAACGCGTACATTCGGCCGGCGAGTTTCCGGTATCGTGGAATTTTCAACGCGCGCCGGACAACGAGACCCGGCAAAAGTCGAAGAGACTCGGAGGACTCGGAGGATTCGAAAGCGAGAACGAGATCTCGATGCACCGCGGCGGTACGTGCCTCGATTTTCCGTTCGGGTTTATCGCGTATCGCGCGCGAGTCGTGCGAGCGTTCGGCGCGTTGGTGGGAGAGAACAGTCGAAAATTACCGACTCGACGCAAAGACCGCGTTAAAAGAACTCGCGGTGGTCGCTCGACCGTGTCGAAGCTGGTCTCGGTAAAGAAACGAGATTCGACGAGAACGTCATAGTCGCGACGCGGCGAAGCGACCTTTCGTCAATTTCGATTCGATCGCGTTCTCGCGAGTCGAAGCGAGTCGAGCGAAACAAGGTCTCGGCGGTCGAATCGAAAGTTCGGACGCGCGACACGGGACGGTCGTGGAATATTAAACTGGTCGCGAGAACCGAGGAGGAGGAGGAGGAGGAGGAGGAGGAGGAGGAGCGGGTTAAATTTTGATCGCCGAGCGGGAACCGAACGAAAATCGGCCTATCCGATCTGTCATTTCCCGATGCACCGCGACCGCGACTCTATCACCTGTTTCGCGCCGCGCACCGGCCAACACTGCGCCATTCGGCCTCGGCTTCGGCTTCGGCTTCGGCTTCGGCTTCGGTATCGTTCCTGGACTCCGATGCAGGCCCCTCCCTCGTGTGCACCGCCGACCAACGGCGGGTCCCCGCCGCTCCGATACCCTAATCGTCCGTGCGCATCTCGAGAATCGCTCGCTTTTCCAGACGCTCCGCCAGATACCGGGGGTCTCTCTATCGCGGCGATAGATCCCGAACCGATATTCGCTTACCCTTTTCCGCGGCGAAACGTTCCCGTCGTCGTTCGGCCCGTACTCGATTCGCCGATGCTCCCGATTCGAACGAGCCCGGCCGAATTCCCTGTCCGATTCGAAATCGCTGGACAACGACGCGCGGACCGTCGTGCCGGTCGTGCCGGTCGTGCCGGTCGTGCCGGTCGTGCCGGCCGCGCCGCCGTTCACCCCGCGTCACCGACAAAAGTCGAACGCGCGTCTCTCCCCGGAACCGGCGCACCCTCGCGATTCGTTTCTCTTCGCCGAAAGTTTTCCACTTATTTTTGTATTCCTCGTTGCTGGTTACCGGTCGGGGTTGGTTACCCGTTTTATTGCTCGTTGCTTTCGTCCGTTGCTCGTTCGGTTTCTCGTTTCGCAACGTTTTTCGGTAAAGCTCGAATCACGATGGTAACTGCGGATTACGCGCGACTTACGCGTGCACTCGCATTTTGCACCGTCGAGCGAGCCTTCCGCGACACGAATTAACGTTCGAACGTTAATGAAAATTTCGCTGTATTCGTCCTCGCGCGACGCAAATCGTTTCGTGTTTTCTCAAAACATCGATCCTGCTCGGCGAGCTAACGTTATCGGACGGCCGTACCGTCGCGTCGAAATCGTTGTTTCATAATCGATCGGTATCGGTAACGCGAGAACGTATTCTCTTCGAAACTATTCTTCCAAAATGCTGGAATCCGTTCGACACGCGCAACGGGCTGGCGTATTCGTAATTTATTGATTCGCGTCGACACGTGCACGTCGAACTTGATCGATCGGTGTCCGTCTTTCGCGTTTCGATTATCATCGGGGCTTAAAAGTTACCGGTCGATCGACATATTTGCCCGCGGTTGCTCAGACGTTCCTGGGATAACGCGGTGACAGCCTTGGAAAGCCTAAAGTTATTAGGAGATTAGTCGTTATCGATATTATACCGTGAAATTGTGCGAAAGCGATTACGACATCGCGGAGGGTTGCAATATCTTTTGCGCGGTCCCGAGATCCGAGATCCGAGTTCCGAGTCCCGAGCTCCGAGTCCCGAGCTCCGAGTCCCGAGCTCCGAGTCCCGTGTCGCAATACGTGCGTACGATTTCACGGTTTTTCGTATTTCGTATTTCGTAGAATCCAGGAAACTCGCAGTTTTATCGATCCGTGAATTTGTTTCGGCGCGAGTAAATGTTCGAAGAACTTGAGCAAACGTAGTCTAGACGGAGAAATGTAGTCCACCAAAAATCTCCTCTTCGTTGGCAAACAAGCTGAAACGTTGCGGCGTATGCTCAACCTATCAACAGAGAAAAGTGAACTGGTTACAATCAATTTACGTTGTATCTATTAATCGCGAACTTTGCACGTTCGCCTCTTTTTTCGAAACAAAATATGTACACCGACTCGTGTTCGAGCCAACAACTCGAATGAAACTACTATCATCGGTTCGAATAGTAAATAGTAAATAGTAAATAGTACATAGTAAATAGTAAATAGTAAATAGTAAATAGTAAATAGTAAATAGCAAATAGTATATAGCAAATAGCAAACAGCAAATATGCAAGCATACAGTTACTCGGAAAATTGAGCGTACAGCTTTTAAAACGCGATTATTTTGTTAAAACTGGACCAAGCGACTTGAATTTTTCTTTTAGACGATAGTGGGACCAGCTTACCGGGCGACAACTAAAATGCCTTCTTTTAAATTTCGCTATCGCTTGGGAGGACAACGAAGGTACGCTCGTAATTTTCCGAGCATCCGTACGTCTATTTCTTCGACGAGGCGTCGACCGAGATGTATTCGAGTTCCGACCAAATAATCGGCTCGTTTATCATGTTTTTGCTAATCGAGTAGAGGAAGTACGAAATCTTGGGTATTAATCGAGAGCAGCGATGCGTCCGCGATAAAAAAAAGATGTGCGAAAAGATCGTGGAAATGCCCGATAACATTGTTATGTGTTTTGCACGCGAGTATTCGACTAAAAATTCTCACGTTTCCCCTTATCTCGAGACGCACGGTCTACGTGGCACTATCGTTGTCCCGTAGTAAGCATCGACGCGATTTCGAATCGATTACTCTTCGCGTCGAGAGACGGTTTTATAAACTACGGTCGGCCCTGCCGACGCGTCGATTCGTGTACATTTCGAAACGTACACGTGATTATAACTTGTAAGTGGATCGGGAGATTTGTTGCTTCGCGTTCGTGTTCGCGTTCGCGTTATCATTCACCGATGCGGCTTATCGGTTCGTATTTTCAGAGAAAGTGGACAAACAATCGTCGAGTTTTTTCCACACTGTAGAACTTTATCGCGCATTTCATTGTCAGCACCCTACACACCGACGAGAGCGCAGCGATCGAGCAACGATCGTGATCGTTGATCGTCGTCGGTCGTTGCTTGTTGCTCGTTGATCGTCGAGCGTTCGGCATCGAGCAGCTCGAGCAGGACAAGAATTAACGTTGAAACGATTATACGTGCGAGCGTTGTAATCAAACTGATGATAAAATGAATAATTGCAAACGATTTTCTTCCGATTTTAGACCTCTTCGATGCTATTCGGTAACCAGGTGCGATCGACGAATGGAAATCAAAATAAATAACACCAGAGGTTGTTATCGTTATACATCGCAACGCGTCTACTCTGTTCTTCCTTTATCGGTTCTCTCGGTGTTCCGAGCCGGAGACTAGAAATCCTCCGAAATCACGATCAGCCAGTCAAATGTCAATTTACCTGTTTTCACGCGCATTCCCACATATCGTGCGATTTAATCGTAACACAGACGTCTCTGTCTCACGTAACTAATGTGAGTAAATTGCACTTCATAATCGCACGATCATGCGCCTAGATGTATCATCGCATATCAGGGTACATCAAGGTTGATCTAATAGATTCGCATTGGCGTATACGCAGCCTACTCGGTCGCGACTTCACCGACGAATTCGGGATGATTAATCCTGTGTTCGTGATCGACGGGGGTTGATATTCAGGCTAATGTTAGCGAAATTGAGATCGTTGCTGATACAAGTCCGTGCCTTCGAGCGCGTCTCTCCTCGAAATATTTTATTCTTATTTTACTCTGTTCTTCGATCCGATCGATCCTTCCGTTTCATTTGCCTTTCCTTCTGTGCCAAGCGCGTTTCGTCCAAAGGTGCGCGATTCGATTGCGACACTAACAGTTTCTGTTACGCGCGACGCGCGGTGCCTGACGCGTTATTTCTTACCGATTCTATAAAAACAGAAATACGTTATAGTTACGATCGAGAAGCTATACGATAATGTTACGAGTATTGTTCTATCGTTGCTTCTATCGAAAATACATCATTAGTTCGGTCTTATTTCTCAATAATTCATCTAATAATGGTATACGAATACGCAAGGGGCCTTTCGCACGCCGGTTTCCCCTTCCAAGCTCCCCCGTTTCTCCGATCGGACAAATATATATGTATATATATACGATAACGAGTAGAAGTCCTCCGCAGAGCCGTGGCAGTAGTACCGGGATTTGTGGGAAACAAGAGAATTCTATTAATTGAAAATACATACTACGATTATGTTGGACCTGACGGTGCAGTTGCTACAAATCATGGAACACAATGGTGGGGACACCGGTTGTCTCCGATTGTCTCTTGTCTCGTCTCCTCTTTGCCTCCCGTAGACATCACTGAATTATTACAAAATTAGGGCATTCCAAGAGGGCATTCAAAGACTACCAAATTGTTTAGGAGTAATCGATATGCAGTTGATAAAAAACAAATGACGATATTGCGAGACATAATTACAATTGCTCTTACAAATTTGGCTATCTGGCTATCTGTTAATTAATTATATTTTCCGTTGTCGCCGTTTGGTTTCCTTACATGACATCGATGCGGCAAATACTTCTGGACAGTTCTGCGCCCTTAGTCTAGTTTTTTATGCCTTACTTATGGCGAAATTAATGTTTTTAGGCATTACCCCTATCGGTCAGATATGAGCGAGTGTGGCGCTTCTTGTGGAGAAACAGTAAAGCTCTTTTCGGGGTTCGTACAGCGCCAATTGGTGCAGCGGCGAAACGCTCAAACTATTAGCCAAAATCGACGGTCGGTAATTTGGCTAACAGTTTGAGCGTTTTGTCGCTGCACTATTTGGCGCTGTACGGACGTCGAACGGAGCTTCGTTGTTCTCCCGATAGAGGCGCCACACACTCGGAATGCATGGTCGCCTAAAAACATTAATTATGGCAAAATTAGGGCATAACAAACTAAACCGAGGACGCGGAACTGTTCGGAAGAATCTACAGAGTAGATATATCATAAAGAAACAAACAACGACATTACGAAACGTAATTAATTGTTCTCTGAAGTTTGCTAATATATTATGTCAACTAATTGTATTTTGCGTCGTTGTCCTTTGGTTTTCTTACACAAAATAGATGCAACAAATTCTCCTGAACAGTTCTACACCCTTGGTTAAATAAAATAAAATAACACTCTTTCGAAATTGCAGATACATTATGCTAGCATTATTTATACATCTTTTTCATTTTGACGAAACGTAGATGATTTTATCTTTGCCAAAAGATAATTATCTGAAGCAGTGACTATAAGCACAGTATAAGAATTGCACGCACGTACATGCATGCATGTATACATACATACATCATGCATACATGGTTTAAAGTGCATTATGTTTTCCGTGCTGGAAAAATCGTGATTGGGTTGAGATAGCGGGGACACCTATTGTCTGTTTGTTGTCTAGTCCGTACTCGTATTCTATTCCGGTACTCCCGTCTCGTTTGTCCCTCGTGGACCTGTGGATATAAACGAATGCGATTTGTTTAGAGCCCTCGATCGAGTATATACATATGTATGTACATGCATATGTACAGTACATTTTTGCAGGACACCTGTTCCTGTTCAATCTATCAAGATGGCAGTGCGCACTCTATCGTCCAAGTATATAGTCGTACGCACAAGTGTAACACGTAGATCAGCAGAATAGAATTTCATGAAATTTTCTGATGTAGAGCATAGAAAGATCGTAAAATTTACCGTCAAATGATCATTCTACGCACATGTTAAGTTACACGTACGTAGTTAAATTTCGATAAATCTATCATCGCAAAGGTGGTACACACACACGCACACGCACACAACTTGGAAGCGCATGCGCACTGAAATTTGGTTTCGTAAAAAATACGGGTTTCGTCTCTGTGAAAATCTTATGCGCTTGCCATGTACATTTGTACATATGTACGTACGTATGTATGTACATATTCGAGCGAGTCGTAGCCACAGCAGGGTGTGGTTTGAGATTTGACTCACTCGCCTCGCAAATGGAATCGGAATTGGTAGTTTAGCGCTGTTACCGTTGATTGTTGAGCGCCATGCTGAGCTGTGTTAAATCGTGGTGAATCGTACAAATCGTAGTGAATCGTGCGCGGAGTGTTAGCACAGCTCGGAAACTTCTGAGTAAGGCGTGTATTTGAGTGAATACGTATAGAACATACATACTTATATGTATAATGTATGTATGCGCCACAGTCAAATACATGTAGTTGTAAACGATTGATTTCGTTTCTGGTTTTATTAGTGAATTGTGATTTGCTGTTTACCAATTCTTACACGCATGTGTAATATCGCAGGCATGGAAGACAGCTACAACAAAGCCTAAAAATCAACATAAAGGAATTTCAAAATTGCCGAGATAAGGGACTTATCGGTCAGCCATTCAGCCTCGAGACAGTCGTTTAACGAAGCATATTTTATACCAACTTTTACAAATATTTCATATTTAGAAGACGTTTCGGGGGACATTTTTTCCAAGACATTACGTACTCTCTATTTACCAGGTGAGCCTAATCAATTATTCAACGGTGTCAGTTCCATTCTGACATTTAGCCGCTTCTCGACAAGATTCAGTTTGCGTCATGGAATTCTGCTATTACGTAGCAGACAGTTTGAATTTTATGTTTCAGAACAATGTCGAATAATGATAATAGCAGTTTGGAGCAACAAATTGCAAACTTGCAAATTAATCACGGAGATGGCATTAAAATCGTAAAGCCTGGCAAAAAGATTGGACCGGCTGTGCCGCCGAAGCCAAAAAAGTCGCAGTCTCAGGTCGGTATATAACGAAAGATATTACAAGGTCGATTAACCGTGCTGTTACTTACAATATTTTATGCTGGTTTTTTCATGTTCGTTCCATTCTCACGGGGATATGTTTCTGGTAAAAATTTACTAAATTCTCAACCGCTTCTCGGAGACCGTCTTCGGTAACAACCTTGATATACGTTCGAATTTTAGGTAATGCAAAGTTACGTCGTAAAGGGAGGATCCGTGCAATCGTACGGTACGGTACTCAATAATTCTACGACAAATGAAAAACCTTCCAACTTTTATGCAAACTCTTCTACTCCGTACGTGCCTATAAACATAGAGAAGAACGATTTTTCATTGACGTCGACCACAAATGGAAAAGATACGTCTAAACTTTATCAAAACAACGACAACTTTTACCCTCGTCAAGCCAATGAGAAATTCGAAACAAAATATGGATACGATGAGAAAAACTTCTACTCGAATGTCGGAAATCTGCCGGCCCCTCAGGTTCCTGCCGAGGATCATTCGAGATCTTCGGCGAGAAATGTTGTGTACAGCAACATAGATCCTCCGAGGAGCATGCAGAGTAAAACTGGAAACAAGACTGAAAACGATATCATTTATAGTAACATTCAATGGAATTCAAAACCAGAAAACACGTATTGCAATATTACCCCTGCTCACGGTAATCGGATTCAGTATTAGAATGTATTTCCGTTTATCCGACCGATACATTAGAAGATAGGTAAACTTTTTCGTTCGATTGCATTCACAGACGATTTACCACCGCCACCGGAATTATCGGAATACGTTCCTTGCGTTCCAAGTAGTTCTTTTCCTCCGCCACCGGAAGAACTACCACCCCCGCCGAGTCCTGTTTCGTCCAGTTACAGCGAATTGAGACGCGCCACTTACCAAACCGATTTCCCTTCGGATAATTATCCAAACGATATTTATGGGACAAGCTCGCAATCCAGCTCGACGTACGAGTCTATATACGAACCGATCAATCCTAGACCACCGTCTCAGTTGTCTTGCAATTACTCCATGTATTCTGGCTACGGGTCCGCTACGTCGACTCAGCAGCAAGGGAAAGTGTCACCGGTCAAGGAAGTATGCCTCGCATCGACGTCATTTCGTACGGTTTCTCTCGATTATAATGCCTATTCGCATCTTACAGTGTTATTCGGTTTCAGGTAGACGATTTGATGGACTTATTGGTCCACGGAGTGGAGGACAACGACGAAGACGATGACATATATGGAATATGTGCGCAATGCGGTCACAAAGTCGAAGGCAAAGGATGCTCCGCGATGCATAAAGTTTTCCACATCGACTGTTTCTGTTGTTACGTTTGTAAAGTGAATTTGCGGGACAAACCGTTTTTCTCGTTGGAAAGTAAGCCCTACTGTGAGAAAGACTATCTGAACACGTTGGAAAAATGTTGCGTTTGCGCCAGCCCGATATTCGATAGAATATTAAGAGCGACGGGAAAACCTTATCATCCGTCTTGTTTCACATGCGTGGTTTGCGGTCAGAGTTTGGACAGTATACCATTCACGGTGGATGCTACCAATCAGATACACTGCATAGAATGCTTTCACAAGTAAACGATATTTATGATTTCGTAGCATAGACAAATAATCGTAGCGTCAGCGATGGTAAAGTATTTATACTTATCGTTTGTGTTACAGGAAATTCGCGCCACGTTGTTGCGTATGCAAATTGCCGATCATGCCGGAACCAGGCCAGGATGAAACTGTAAGAGTCGTGGCCCTCGATCGTAGCTTTCATATTCAGTGTTACAAATGCGAAGACTGCGGTTTGGTTTTGTCTTCGGACTCCGAAGGACGCGGCTGTTATCCTTTGGACGATCACGTATTATGTAAAAGTTGCAACGCGACTCGCGTCCAAGCACTAACGTCACACATGACGACAGAATTGTAAATTGTGAATTGCAAGTCGTAAATCGTAAATTGTAAATCGTGAGTCGTGGATCCTGCAAACGTGCGACCATAGCCAAGATTGCACGAGTCACGTATCGCGATCAGTTGTTAAGCTGCAGTATCGACAATTTTTCATCCTTAGGAATAAATATTATACAGTACTATTCAATGTATCGAGAACAACTAAAGACTCGACAATTTTTTTTATCGTTTATTACGACGTGTTGCGAAAAGATGCGTTCTTCTTGTCGGAGGTATTTTTTCGAGACGAGTGTGACGATTGGTAGTTATGATAATCGATAATGTGATCTTAGGGAACGCGCAGTATACGCGATTAGAGCACACAGTATTCGACGTTTAGTGCGAGAGAAAGAGAGAGAGGGAACACGACGATGAGCGAAAAACCGCTCAATTTTATGTGATATTCTATTCACGAACATGGCACGCGACACGACACAAGAGGTAGAGATTGTGCCATTTATACATCGGTTTTGTTTATCTATACTCTAGTACATCGAACCAGTTAGATAATTAAATTTCCGCATTTACGGTAAATCGCGCGAGAATACTATGTATTGATGCAAATACCTTAAACAATATCGTTCGTTCGACGACAAATGAAAAGACTAAGCGATTATACGATAATAGAGCGTAATTGTTAACACGCATTGCTGAAGCGATATCAGCAAATCAATAAAGTATTTAATCTGTTTGACAGAGAAATGTTCTGATTTTAATTTCACAATCATTTCCTTTCATCGATTCGACTTGTGTTCCGACAAAGCATCGACATTGGAAAACGAATAAAATTGAGGGAGGTAAATTCACAAATACAGTAAATGTGCATTGGAGCATAATATATTTTTTATATCTTTATGAGATTTTATTATTATTATTATAGTTACCGTTATTACAACATATGTATATATATATATATATATATACACATACATATATATATACATACATATATATATATATATTTACGCGTGTGTGTGTGTGTGTGTATATTATGTGTTTGCAGGAGAGATTCACACTCAATTTTACTTTATATACCTTTTCTTTGCTATGTCATTTTTCCATCTATATATAATGTTCATGCACAGATGTGATTTTATTTATTCCTTTTAAATATATGCATTCTTTTATACGTAATATATTTGTTTTTATTATCGTTGAGTACTTGGATAGTTTCTTGCCATACAACCTACATGTTATTTTCTGTATAAGTTATGTTTTTTTTCTTTGCAATACATCAATTTCAGTGTTCTAGATGGTGAGCCTTTTCAGATTGTCGAGCATCGCTCGTTCTTCTCGTTTGAAAAGAAACGGAAAGAACAACAAAAATTCTGTTAACCGATTGCAGCTACGGTTTTCTTCTCTGGTTTAGGCCATTGTTATCACGTCTTACTCGGCAGACTAACGCGATGAATTTTTTTAGATTTCAAAGAGATACGAACGAATCAATGAGGAACGAGAATTCGAACGAAAATACCCACGAGTTTCGTATAACGCGAACGATCTACAATCGTAAAAAAGCAGACCTTCCACACCGTATACAATATACATCAATTATATTTCTATTTCTTTCTACTACTCTTACCCGCTAATATCTATCTTAAAC